CCGATAATCTTAAACCACGTGCGAATAAAAAAATTTTTTAAACCCAGCCTAATTTTTTATAAGTTGTTAAATGTGAATTATTTTCCATAATATATATTAAAGTGTTGTAACAGTTGAGATTTTGTTTTGGAGATGTTACACCAAAATTTTGAATTCCTAAGACATTCTAATTATTGTGTTAAGAAGAATGTTTTATATGTGTTGTAACCAAGAATTATGTTTTAATACATTTTTGTTTTTAAAAGTTATATTTGTCTTTAATTCTGACTATGCCTCGTGCTAATTCCTTGGATAGGATTAAATTTCGTGCATGTGCAGTCTAGTGCCATGATTCTCTAAGGTTATCTATAATCCTTTTTTTTAAATAACTAAATATTTCGTTAAATAATGCCCATTATCATTGCTTAAAATTAATTACAGCCCAAATTGCTGTTTAGCTTAGCAGATTAATTTTTCTAACAGATTTTCGAGTCACGTGGATGGCCGGCACGAGCACGTTGGACAAATAGTAAATACTGAATTTAAATGTTAGTTTTAAAGTATGAATATGCTAATTAATTTAACATTAGAATCACGCTGTAACTATTTGAATATTTTTAGATACATTATTTGATTTTTGATTTAAATTGTTCACAACGCAAGTGTAAACTATTAAATAATTATTCCAAATTCTATACGATCTATTATATTATTATTTTATTAAAGGACATTATATGTTAAAAATGATCCTTGAAATTAAAAATAAATTTTAACCACGTTTACGATCCAATGTATAATTTAAATGTAACCCTGGTTAGTTTAATTTTCTTTAACTATAACAGTATAAATTTTTATAAATTATACCTGAATTACTTTTGTCAATACTGAATACCAATTTTTAAGTTATACCTGGTTTACAGTATAATAATTATAATAATAAATAATATTTTTAAATTTAACACTGGAAAAATAATATATTTTTTTAAATTTAACAGTCTCCAAAGTTTAGAATACCTAATAATAATATTATTTTTTGCGTATTTTGCCATATCTCCTGAACTTTTTAAGCGAATTGAAAAATCTTTGCATAAACAAATTTTATAATTGTGTGCTAAGATAATTCCATGCAAATTATAAATTTCAGTAAATATTTACTATTTTTTATAAAAAATAAGTTGTAAAATTTTGGAATTGTATAGGATAAATTTTTTTACATGATTTTAAAATATCTAATTTTACACGGCAAAATACAAAATTTGAGCAAAATCGGTTGAATATTTTCTGATGAATCAAATTTTAAATATAGGACTTTTTTGAAAATTTGATTTCTTAGGCATTATTCAAACAATTTTGCTGAAATTTTGTATGTTGCCATGTAGAATAAGATATTTTAAAGTGATGCAAAAAATTTTATGCTTTACAATTTAAAATTTTTTTGACTATTACTGAATAAAATAGTAAAAATCAATAAATATTTACTAAAATTTATTTTTTGCATGCATTTTGAATAAATGAATTGTATAACCATCTTTAAATTAATGAATTTTATAAATGCGTTCAGATTTTTCAATTCGATTAAATTTTCTCGAGATATGGTGAAATACGCAAAAAGTAATATAACTATCGGGACCATATTTCCCAGATTGGTGCTACCCACTTTTATTTTGGGAGTCAAAAATCTAATCTGTTGAAAAAAAGGAATGTTTAGTCAAAGAAAGTGCATTTTTGTGCTTGATTTTGTACTTCTGCTGCAACAATTTATTAGCATATTTGAAGGTCACTCCTTTAAACCATTAAGATGGAGTCCTAGGACATAATCATTAAACCAATATATTACTGTAATAACAACAAATTTAAATAGATATTAATGGATCAACAACAATTTTTTTAACTTACTATAATAGGAAAAAACTTTTTCACTGACTTGTTAACTAAGCAAAGTTGTTAAAAAAAATAAAGGAAAAAAAATTCCCTGCCAAGTGATTCTCCATTGAAAAACATGAGAAAACCGCTTTTTTGCAAAGAAAGGCAAGCTTATTGTACCATAAACTGAGTTGGTAGAAGTTAAAGAACTAACCCTTTTAAAATACACTACTGGCCGTTAAAATTGCTACACCAGGAAGGAATGCAAATAACAGAATGATATTTATTAGGCACTGATATTTATTAGATATATGATATTTATTAGAAATGATATCATTAGGCACATACATTATAGTTGGAAGAACAAGTGATTAAATTTTCAGGGTAATTGCATGTATAGATCCTGAGGAATCAGTACTCAGAACAGCCTCCCCTGGCAGCAATAACAATAGTTATTCTCCTGGGAATCCAGTTGAACACAGATTGGATAGCATGGACGGGTACAGCGTTCCACGTAGCTTCAACATTATGCCACAATTCATCGACCGAAGTGACTGACGTGTGGTGGCATGCCAGCGGTCGGCAACCATTGATCAGATGTTTTTAATTGGTGAGAGACCAGGAGAACGTGCTGGCCAGGTTAGCAGGCAAACATGTTCTGTGTTAAGGAAGGTCAAGGCAGTGCGGGCAACATGCGGTCGTGCATTGTCCAGCTGAAACTTAACGTTATGGAGGCCTCGAAGATAAGGCAGAGCAACTGGCCCTAACACATCAGAAATGTAACGGCTGCTGTTCAAAGTGTTGACAATTTGAACAAGAGGTGATCGAGACGCGTATCCAATGACACCCCATACCATTACTCCAGCTGATGTGCCAGTATGACGATATTGAATACAGGCTGCCAATGGGCGTTCTAAACGATGTCACCAAACAAGGATGAGGCCATCATGATGCTGTATACAGAACCTGGATTCACATGTAAAGACGATGTCATGCCATTCCTGCGTCAAGGTTCATTGTTGATCACACTATTGAAGACCTGCCTGTAATACAGCGTCATGGGTAGTCGAAACCATGGTGCTGCAAATGTCATTAATTTGTCCGAGCAGACACTTGTTGTCTTGCAAATGATCCCATTTGTTAACTCAGGGTTCGTGGAGTAGCTGTACGATCCCTTAAGGCCATGTGGATAGCATGTCTGTCTTCGTGGCTGTTAGTGAGCTGCTGAGATCCTGCATGGCGTTACACACGACCGTCATGAACCCATCGATTCTATATTCTGCTAACAGTCGTGATCAGTCATGGGATCTCGACCAACGCGAGCAGCAATACTTCGGTATAATTAACTGCAATCCCGGTAGGCCACAATTTGATATCGATCAAACTCAGACACAAGCTGGTAGGCATTTCTCCTTCTTACATACCATTAACATTAAGCATAACAAAACTTTTTTACCAGAGAACAATGCTCAAATTCAATTTCCGTATGAGAAACTTACTGTCAAATATCTTCTGCTAGACACATTGTGAGTGTCGCTACAGCTACATACTTAGCATGAATGCGCTTATAAGCTAATCATTTGCATACCACGACATGCTTTAACCGTCTTGCAAATTTCACGTTTGTGGTTTGTTGCCTTCCTGGTGTAACAATTTTAATGGCCAGTAGTGTAGTTGAAACATTTTCTTAAACGAATTTAAAAATACACAAAATAAAAATTTTGAATTTTAAAAAGTTTTAAACACGGATTATTATGAAGCCCACTCCATTATTTAGTAGTAATACTTATTTTAATGTATTTAATACTTATATAATTTTAGTATATTTACGCTCATATAATTTTACGAAATTATCTAAACTAATAATTAGGGGGATTTTTTTTTTTTTTTTGGACTAAACCACAAGAAACTAGCAAAGTCTAGAACTCTACTTGACAATATTAATTTAATGACTATTTTAGTTTTAAAATTAACTCATATTAATTTAATGACTATTTTAGTTTTAAAATTAACAACTCAGTTTCAAAATGTATCACAGGGTTTGTAAAGTCCTTAAAAAACTAAAAAATGACAGCAAAAGTAAGAAAATAAAATATATTTTAATAAGTTCATATTTAACACAATTAATATTTCCTAATAATAAATATATTTAATTGTGAAAATTTCAATTTTTTTTTTATTTTAAAGTTGAGCTAATAATTTTTTTTTAATTTTTTATTACAATTATTGAAACAACTTTTACAGATTTTTAAAAACTGTACAAACCTTGCATTGTCATGCACTTGAAAAACAATAAGTGTAAGTGATACATGATAGATTTGAAGAAAAGCAACTTGACTCTACTATTTTTTCCCCTTATTAATCCTATTATCGCTAAAATAGAATTTTAAAGAATTGATTAAAAAATTGGACTTTGAAAAAAAATGCGCTAGATATCTTAAGGCAAATATATAAAAATCTCAATTTGGATTTTTGTGTGAATAACATTGATTTTTCTATTGCACAAGCAGCGTATCAGTAATTTAAGTCTTGAGAACAAACAATAAATACATTTCAGCAGTTGCAAGAATTCCTTCCCTCCCATGAAATTTGAAAGATAGTTCATAATTTCTTAGCATAACAACAAGGATTGAGTAGTTTGAGTTCAATTAATTTTTCAGTCAAATTGTCGTTTTTCTAGCATTTGCATACAAAGAAAGCAAAAACTAAAAGTTCAATCTAAGGTAATACTAACTAATAAATACTTTTTAATAAACTAAGCTAAAACAATATACAGTACAGAACCCGTTATCCGGAAATCAGAAAACCGGAAAACCAAAAAACCGGAGCGAAATTCGATAAATTTTCCCGCCATTTTTTAAACAAAAATTTTTTTTCCTCGTAAGATTTTAGGATTTTTCTTTCTTTTTTGAAAGATGTTCACCTTACCATCATTTTGGAAATAATCATTAGTGTATTACTTCATCGTTTTTTCTTCTTTTTAAGATTATTTCCCAAAAAAAAATTTTTTTAGTTGGGTTTAACAATAAAAAAAACTCCTTTTTGTAGCGATTCAGAAAACCGGAAAAATCAGTTATCCGGAATAGCGATGGTCCCGATCGTTCCGGATAATCGGTTCCCTACTGTATATATTTGAGAAGAAAAAAAAGAGCATTTACCTGAGCAGTTTCTTCATTTGTACGCAAATTTAGTAGAGAAACTAAGGCAAATTCACTATTTGCCTTGACTATCGTGTTCTTTTCTTTTGTTCCATTCACTAAATGGGGAACAACGGTTTTCATGAAATAAATAGGTAAAGGTAATTTTCTAGATAAGAAGTGTATTGTGAGGGCTACTGTTTGTTTCACTTCATTTGTTGTGTGATTCATGCTCTAAAAGTAAATAAAAATTCATTAGTAAAGAAAGCTTTTTTTTTTAACATTTTTATTCAATCGATAAATATAATTATTTGATCAAACCCTACAATTATATCTATAAATATGATAATCAAAACCTATGATTTTATAATTCATTATAGAAAAAATTTGCTAGTTGAACAATTAAATTTTTATCAATATTTCAAATATTATTTATTTTTATTATTTCAAAACTGATTTTTATTATTAAATTTTAATCAAATTTTTATAGCCACAGAATTTTATTTGAAATTTCTGAACTTAAATTTCACATTCGGTAGAATTATAATATGTAATACTAAAAATATGATTTTATACAGCATAAAACTTTTTGCACATTACTATTTATAAAAGCAAATTTTAAATCATAGTCATTTGTATTCTATTTCATGTACTCTGTAGAAATATGGAAAACACATTTAAACAGTAACCTTTTCATAAACATTAATAATTTTTATTGTGATAAAGTATTAATGAGTATTATAAAGTATTGGACAGAGAAAAAAGTATTAAACAGAATTAAAAATTGAATTTTTTTTTAAAAAACTGCAAATTTTTTTTTCTTCACAAATTTGGAATTTATTTTGTTTGTTAAAATTTATTTCTGTATATAAATTTTTGTTCATTAATTTAAAAGAAAAAACTAATTTAAAAAAAAAATCATGAAATTTTTGACTAAAAGGAAGAAATAACATTAAAACATGTGAACTAAATACATAGGTGAGTTACAAGTAAGCAAAAACCAAGTTCGATCACATCAAGGATTGAATTAACACTAATGCACTCACTTTAGCAAATGTAGTTAGCAGTAACTGAGGGATAGGTTTCTCTTGTTGTAACATATATAGCATGTAATAGCCTACAGCTCTCACACCACTCAAGACTATGGCAAGCTGAAAAAAATAAAATGGCTATAATTTATATTCAAGTACTGAAATATAGAAACAAGCCATAATGTAACTTTTAAAACTGGTACTTTATTAATCTTAAGTTAATAAACATATAAAAATTCAATTATTGTACATTTGTTACAAATTTTTTTTAATCAAAAATTTACTATGTCCACAATTTCTTGACTAACAGCATCAGGAGGTCAGTACCGCCTTTTAATCATCTTCACTTTCCAGACAGGCTGCTACTCATAGATCTGAAGTAGAGGGTCTCCTAGCCACCACATAGCATTGAAACCCAGTCTGTCACAACGGCATGCCTATCAACTTAAACGTTTTTCAAAAAAGCTTTAATCTAGTGGTAGTAAAATTAAATTCATGCTTTGACATTGTAAGCATAATTTTTCATTTATATTTAGCTCACTCATTAAAACATGTTAAGATGAATAGCTGTTTTTCAATAAGCATGTTTCAATTATTCAAACATAACGGTAGTCAAAATCATTAAAGTCAAATTTATTAAAACAAGACTAGAATTTGAAAGCTTAAAAGTGGCTACCAAAGTAAAAATAAAATCTTACAGAAACTCTAGAAGAGTTGGCAGGTATGCAATGGCAGCTTAGTGCTTTAATGTCTCATCACAGCTCAAACGAGCATGCAATTCCCATAATATTTTCAAGAGTAATTAGATTAGTCCTGAAAATTGATAGCCACACTTTGTATATATGTTACTGATTATTTTCTACCCAAATCAGACCCTTAATACTTGTATATTTAAACAAAACATTTTGTTTTTTAAATTCAACAAAAAACATACGTCACTTCAGTTTTAACAGGAAATTCCATATTAAACTTTGCTTTCATCTTACTATTCGAACTTTTGGGGGGAAGTGATGTATGACTAACTCTGTCCACATCGGACGGGCAGGTAAAACTGCAGAAAAACTTATCTCTGTGTGTTAAAAATAGCTAAAATATGCAAAAATGCAGAAAGCTTCTGCAAAATGTAAATGGGTGATAGCTATGATTTTTTAAAAGTTTATCTTAAAATGTGTTGCAAGATTTATAAATTTTTTTTATAAAAAAAGCGAGTGAAAACTGGGTGGTTTTTTGAATACCAATAATCTAAATAAACTACTGACTTTTCATAACAATAATAAATCCAAATAAGACTCTTCATCCGCTTTTTAAAAAATTTTATAATAAATTTATTTATAAGAAACACATTTTAAGATAAACGTAATATAAAATGAACACAGGAAAAGGCTATATAAAATCTATTTTTATAAATTACATGCAATATTTCTTTATGCAGACTTGTAGACATTTTTTTTAAAATTATTGTATGCAAAGATACTTTAAAATTTATTACAATTATAGTTGAACTAAACTATTTTGAAACTATGTACTATAAAAGAGGCAAGTAGTTATGATTATTACCCTATCAGCTGTGATATAGACTAAGAGCACTTTGATTATTCTTTCTGCCCAATCATCATTCAGAATTCTGGTGGGTGCTTCCTTCAAACAAACCATTAATGCAACACTTCTTCCATGTCTAAGGGTCCAGTCTAGAGAAGTATCATCATCTGAAAAAATTAAGAAAGAAAAAATCACAAGTCTTATACAACCAATTCTAAGGGATCCTACAGACAAGAATGTTTAAAATGTAATGAAGATAATATGATTTTAATTACATACTTTTACAAATGTTCAAAAGTTTTTCAACAAGCTATTAGATAATGTGGCCTCATTTTCCAACAATTTGTTTTAAAAAACACACACTACATGCGTTAGCTGGTTTTAAAATAACTTCAAAAGACTAGGCAGTCTAATTGAAATTTGTATAAGGTCTTATAGTAAGACAAAAATTTGAAGTAGTTGCAAAGAAAAATGAATACAGAAATTATTTTCATTCATGTTTTGGTTATTTAAAATATTGGTTAGATTTTTTTAAAACAAAATAATACCATTAAACCAATGAATACAGCATAAAACATTTTTATGCTATAAATTTATCATATATTATCAACTATTATATCATTTATCATATCATATTATCAACTTTCAATAAAATAGTAATATTATCATGTCATGATAAGTTTGTATGACAATAGAAAAAACATATCTAGACAAACCCATAGAAATAAGGTATGCAAATGCATCTTTATAACTAAAAAATAATATTTAATTAACAAATATGAATATTAACTTATTAGCGTTAATGCATCTTTATAACTAAAAATAAAATGTAATAAAAAAACATAAATCATCAGCTGTTTTGAACATAGAAAGTCAATTTCTTTTATTTCCCCAAATTGTTGTGTTATTGTAAGACCTCGCCTACTTTTTTACCAATAAATGGTCTTGTACATAGAAAAAATATCAGGATTTATTTTTTTTTTTTTTTTTGCACTGAATTACAATCTATCTAGAATTAGGTTGGAGGAAAATGTCTCTTCACATCACAGTTTTCTAATGGAAAGGCAAAGAACTACACTGAAACAGTCATTTATCTAGAATTAGATAGAATAATGTCCCTTCATATCAGTTTTTTAATGGGAAGGTAGAGAGTTACACTGAATCACAGATTAAAAAGAAAAAAAGAACATTTAGACGTAAAAATAAGAATGTCAAAACTGCCAGTGGGTTAGAATGCCTTTATTTTTACTTAAAAAAAAGAGATATTACTAACCTAACAAGTTTTCTCTGGCAATATCTTCAAACTCGTCATCCGATAAAAATCCACATAAAGTTCCCACACAAGCAGCGGCAACCACTCTACAGGAATCATCTGGATAACCCAACATGCCGGTAACCGTGGTAACAATATTCCTTTTCATCTGATCAGACATCTTATCACCAGCTTGCTTAATTGTGCAACGCAAAGCATGTAGCATAGTCTCTCTGAAACATATTAAAACTTCAATGTAAGATTTTTCTTCTTTTGAATAAAAAATCATGGGATAAAATGATGCATATGAAACTTTAATAGAAATTTTCAATTATTAAATGGGAGAAATTGCCCACTCTCATAAATAAAACATTTATAAGATTAAAATTAATATTAACAAATAAGATTAAGATTAAAGAGTAAATAACTACATAGGTGTGAAAGTACAGTGGTTAATGAATTGAGATGTCACTGTAAATAATGAGTTTGTGTTAATATCTTGTTCAACCCCTTAACGCATTTACCCGTGTCTGACAAGGGCGAACTTTACCGGCAAATTAGCACATGCCCATGTCACACACACACACAATCTTGTATCTTGCCTCATTTTCCTTCTATTGCCTGTTTGAGATCCATTCAAACAAAAATAGATAGGCTAGATTACAATTAAATTTATTAAACATAGATGAAACCACCTTGTTGCATTTTTGTGCAAACCATAGGGTGCATTCTGATGATTAGCTATTTGATTATTTATTTATTGATTGATATATCGATTTAATTTGATTTTAATATTATATTTTGAAGACAAGGTGGTATGCTAAATTTGTAACAAATAACACAGTAATGTTTATAACAGGTAAACATAGGAAAAGTTCCAGAAAAGTAAAATTAAATTAAGGCACTAGTCATTTCTTATAAGCCTAATTAAATATGTAGTGTGCATAAGAGTTGCCTCATTAAGAAGCATTTTTCTGTTTAACAGCACATAGAGAAAAATTATTTATTAAAACTTTTTAAAAAACTCTCATTACAAAGTTCACAAAAAATGAAAAATTAAATTTATCAAAAATTTATAGGTAACATCAGAAATCGTAAAACAGTAAGGCACTAAATGCATAGTCAGCAAGAAATAACTCATTTTTAAAAATTTCTTTTAAAACTCTGAAGGTAAAAACAGAAATTGTGAAATTAAGAGACATTGACACAAGGACCCCCAAATGCTAATATTAGAATTTGAAAGGCAGAGTTGGCAATGTTTAGGACAGAATGGTTTAATCCATGGTTTAAACTGTCCTGTCTAAAACCTTTTCATTCAAATTATGACACAATTTTAAAAAATTATTGTAAAAAATAAAAGACTAATTTATGAACAAGAAACAAAATGAATACAAGTTTTTGTTTTACTAAAAAAGTTTTATTATTTTCAATATTGCATTATTTATTCTGATGCAAAACCATAATTCATCAGTATTAAAAGCATATTTATTCATATTTAAAGGATAAGGTATTAACTTTTGTTATTCAATGAATTGTGCAGCTTCAAAAGTTATTAATTTTTCCTCTTATATTATATTGTTCTCCTTTAATAAGTTAAAGTAAATTGCATAAAAAGTATCAAATATATATAACTATTATGTGTACAATGGTTAAACATATAGAATTTTTACCTTTTACCAATGTTCAAAGTTTTGGAAAATTTAAGACAGTTTTAGTCAATTTAGGACACTTAAAGACAGTAAAACCCACATGTCTTGCACAAAATTTAAGAAGCCCAACCCTGTTGAAAGGTGAACATGATAAAAAGTTTCATTAAGCAATAATTTAAAAATGCAGAAACTTACTTTAAGGAATTATCTTCAGAGCTTTTTACAGCGTTGTGCAGTTCTAAGTATAAAACATCAGGCTTATTGTGCACTAAAATGAGGTAACTTAAAGCACTTGCAGATCTCAACCTCACAGAGCGATGCCCATCACTAAGAGATCGCAAAAATGTTGTTTGCAGTTGAGGTAAAAAGGGTTTCAACATTTGTCCTACCTATGAAGATAAAAACTAAATTTGACAACAGCAATAATTTTTAATTACAAATATTAATTTTAATAATGACTACAACAAATACTTTTACAGTAACTATATTAACCTGAGAAATTTAAGGTAAAATTTTTTTTGATTGGAACCCTACCGGCAAAAGAAAAAGAGGAAGACCCAAAAAAACTTGGCGCAAGACAATTATAAGTGAATTGAAAACAATAGGAAAGACATGGAGAGAGGCAAAATATCTGGCCATAAATAGAGCGAGTTAAAATCAACTCTAAAATACTTTTTTATTCAAAATATGAGTGCACAGTTTCCGAAATAGCTTAACACGGGGGTGCAAAATTAGCGCAGCCCGGAAGTCAAATAAACAATATACTTAGCTTAAAATTTTTGTTGAAATGTAATTTTAATAAATTCAGAAAAAAATACACCTTAATTATAGCATTAAAATTCCTAATAAGATATTACATTAAGGTGAAAAAAGATTCAAATCGTCCAACATTTTACTTTTTTTAAAGACAATTTTTTTTTAACCAAAATAAATTTAAAATAAATATATATTTCAAGGATTTACTAAAAAATTAAAGATATAAACTATTTATACATAGTAAAAATATTAATAAATTTTTATACAAACAAATTTAAGTAAATAATGTGTGCAAATTTAAATGACTTTTATTCAAAAATATTATACAAACAGTTTTGCCTTTTAACTTTAAGCCAATTGGATATTAAATTATTAAAAATAATTAGTAATTAAGTTATAGTGTCTTTAGTTTCATTTTTCCAGACAGAATGATTATAAACCTTTAAAGATCATACAGCTTCTTACTCCTATTTAATAATTCTGGCTTAAACCATTAGTCTATAACCATCATAAACTGCTAATGCCATATTGGTTGTAACTAAATTATAAAAGACTTTTCTAGAACTGTTTTACAATGAATAGAATTTAAATTCATATTATTTACATTTTAGTTTTAAAAAAATTGCTGCTTATTTTGGCACTGATTGAAAAATTACTACTTAATTATCACTTTTAATACAACAATACACAGATATACAATTCACAAAAATACTACTTAATTCACTATTTTTCAGACCTTCATTTCATTCTGGATTATGAAAATTTTAAACAATATTGTAAATAAATTCTTTCTACAGAAAAATTTGAAATTATGAACCATGCATTAAATTATCTGATATCAAAGTAAAATGCAGTTCTAGGTTGAGTTTGGAAGTTCATGGAGAAAAAGTTTCAAAAGATCAGTAACAATTTGTGGAAGGTACTGTGAAATTTTTTCTATGGATACTTGCTACTGAATTAGTCAATTTAAAAGGAATAAGTGGTTCCAAAATTCAAAGTATTTTCAATCAATCTTTGATAGATTTTACCTTAGCTAGCAGTAGTGCCAGTGTTTCTAAAAATGCCACTTTAGTGGGCCAGTTGTATCGGTCACCTAGAATTCTTATCAAAGGTCCAGTAATTACAACGACTGAAGGTTTCAAAGCATCTGAACTTGTGAGTTTAATAACTTCACCAAGACCTTGCGCTGCCTGCTCCTTATCTTCCGACACTCCATTCAAGATGGCTTCCCTAAAGATTGGTAAAATGGGAGATATACCCTGAAAAAAAATATTGAAAAGATTTTTAATCAGAAGACATTTTACAAGAAAATGCAACAAAATGTCAATAGTTCCATTAAAATTATTAAAAACTGCAATGTAAATTAATAAATTTTTTAAAAATATTATTAGTTTGTACACTACTTTCCATGTCCGTTAATATGCTGAAGTTCGATTTTTTTTAATTAATAAAATGGAATGAAAAATTAAAATACAGATTAAGTGTCATGTTCACAATAAAGATGAAACAATGACAAAAATTAAACCGAAATCAGGGACCACCAATATTATGACAGTATGTGCAAAATTTTAAGTGGTCCCAGAACAAGGGCTTACTTGTTTAATTCAAGCCCTGAATTTATGTAGTTAAAGTAAAAAAAGAAAAAAATATAATGATTAATATAATTAGTCATGCTATAAAAAGAGTTTAAAAGTGAGGAGGAAGAATTGACTATATGAAATTAAATAATTACTAGTTTACAGTAAAGAGAAACTACTAATTTTCTTCTATGGAAAAACTAAATTACACGATAAAAATAAGAAAAAGTCAAGATTAGGTCCCTTTCTTTTTTTTCCCCTTAGCCCTTTTTATGATATTATTTTGTAATTCTTGACTTTGTTACACATTGAAGATCCCAAAATAATTTAGCATACCTTCGCAAGACAAAAACCAGGCAGAAGTTCTTCGCCTTTTAAGTCACTAGCAGCAAATCTGACTGCTTGCCTCACATCATTTATGCTTTTCAACTGTTCTGAGGGACCTAAATTCTGCAAAAGAAAGAATGTATAAAAATTACTTCCAAGATAAAAGTTCAATGTCTCATTGAGTATACAGATATTATCAATACCCATTTTCAAAAAAAATTTGAATGGAAGAAAAGAATACACAACAGATACAGATGGAGGGTAAAGATGGGTAAGTACCATTAGGTATCAGTTACAAACTGATGCTGAGTATCAAATATCAATTACAAAAAACTTGAAACTTTTTGTATCAAATACATATCAATATAAATTCAAATCTTGCTTAACAAATGGAATGCAAAATCAAAGTAAAACTTCAATTGTTTTCCTTAAACTGCACTTTAACAGTTTTCTTTACTGCATTTTTAGCATAAATTGCAGATTTAATAATATTGACCTTAAAAACAAAAGGCAGAAGACAAAGTGAATACAAAACTGCAAATATTTTGATAAAAACAATAACACATTTAACAAGTACTTATTATTTACAAATTCAATTAAGTAATAAAAATATTATAAGTCTACAGATTCAAATAGGGTACAATCGCAAATTCATACATTAATTAAGACTAAAAAATAAATTTAATGTAATACTTAATGAAACATTTTTAATTTCTCTCTTTCCTGAGCAATCAAATCTGTCAAAAGAGCACAAAATGAGTATTGCAAAAGTTCAAAAATAAAGCGGTCGAAGTGAAAATTATGGAGAAAAAAAAAGTATAGCATGAAAAATGAGGCGAAAAATGTAATATGATTGTAAGTACTAAATAACACGGTAAAAAGATTAATATAGCTTCAGATATCAAGGTTAATAAAAACTGATATGAGATAAATAAATACTATGAATATGAAGCGTGAGTGAAACTAGCAAGAGAACTTTCTTCAGTTAGTACTTATTTCCAAACTAATATATATGTACTAAACTAGTATATAATAAAACTAATAAATGGTGCAGCAAATTGATACTGGATTGCAACAATTGATGCTTATATTAATCAGGGTGTGTAGCCTACTTTCTCAACAAAAATAACTCACTTTGAAGCACTAAAAAATACTTTGAAGCACTTTAAAAAAATATAATAATTAGGATATTTGCACCAATAATTTTTTGTTATTGTTGAAAGTTTTTGCATTGTAGTAGAATAAATTCTGAAAACGTTGAATAGAATAGCATGAAAACCATTTAGAAACATTTTAGAAAATAAAAAATGTAGCAATTTTTAAAGACACTCAATGATAAAAACGAAAATCAAAAATAAGCACAATTAAAAACGTTTTACAAATGCTATGCACCCTGTTAATCCAGAGCAGAATTTTTAAGTAGTGCTGCCATCTAGACATTAAATACATACAATTAAGTTATTTTCATTTGATATTTAAGAAATTTAAGGGCTTTATGGCTGAAATTCTTATTCTAAAAAGTAAAACTCATTTATTTTATAATTTATACAATTAAACAGCTCTATACTTAACCACTAAGTATAAAATATCATTGGTATAAACACTAATGCTGCGAAAAAATAAGCAAAAAAAGGGCAGGCAAAATTTCTTTTAAAAATGTTCAGTGAAGAGCAAAATGATGATAGTTAAATATTAATTGAACCATTATTCTTACCTTTGTTACGGCATTTAAAGCTTCCCAACTAAGCTGAAGTACTTTCTGATCCTTTTCAGTAAATAAGCGGATAAGGCCACGGATTAACTGAGGCACATGTTGAGAAATATCAACTTTCTTCTGGCAACAATATGAACACAACAAAGCAACAGCAGCGTGCCTTCGTAGAGGATCTTCACTTCTTGTAGCTTCCAAAAGCTGATCAACAATTGTTCGCACACCTAAGTCATCAGTTGCCGCCAAAACAACAGTTTGGCAATACTCTAAAGTCTAGGAAGAAAAACATATTTATAAAAAACACATATTTTTAATACTTTTCAATAAGAAAATGCAATACAAAAATAACGAGAAATATTTTATACAAATATACATCAGAAGATCTATATCATGCACTTCTTCATGCACCATATTATTTTATTATCTCTAAAGCAAAACAAAATCGATAAAGTTGTTGGATTTTATTCCAAATGCTCTTAATAATTTTGCATTTTTTCTGTAAATAATTACTTTAGGGCATATTTCCGTGTTTTTAAGTACTTATACGTAAAAATCGGTATAAAGTATTAATTTTCATCTGTTCCACAGAAAATTTCCATGTTTAGTATGTAAATTTAATGATATGTGAAATGATCAATATAGTAGAACCTCGATTGATAGTTTCTCATAGAAAGATTAATTTCAAACAAAGATTATGGGATAACCACAAATAAGGGTCAACATAAAAGATCAGATAATGAATTGAAAATGAAAGAATTGATGGGCTTAAAAATTATTAAATTCATATTAAGTATAAAAAATTTCTTTTGAAAATTTAAGTAATAGATGTAAAAATATTTGTTATACAAGATACATTTATTTATTTAAAATATTTGGAAACTTTGGTCTCAACATAGTTCTTCTCAGCACAAACAATAATTTTTCATAATTTGTTGCCTTTTGCGAATTTCGCAACTAGTTCTGGTTCCACTTGACGTATTCATAGGCATAACTTTGCACTTCTTCAGTTTTGGTAATCATTTTTGTCCAGACAACACCATAAGTTTCAATATTTGAATAAACTGATGCATAAACATCTAAAGTGATGCTTGAGGCTCTTCTCCCAAACAGTTACAAATCTTTAATTCTGCCTTCATCCTTAGCATCAAGAGTTACTGTCTTCTCAAAACCAAATAACCTCAATATTTCTTTAAAACACCGCTAAAATTTCTGAACGATGTAAATGGGAATCTTCAAACTTTAAAAATAATCTAAACAGGTATCTATTAACATTATAAGAATAACATTTACGAGGAGAATGTTAAAATAACATATATACCAGAAAGCGAAAAATGTGGGAACGATGGATCAAGGTTCGACTGAACAACATAACATTTTTATATAATTCAATGCTTCAAGGTTTGCATTATTAAGATCTTCTGCAGTATTCTGTTTGTAAGTATTGATTAAATTATGAAGATTACCTGTATTTCAGTGGGTGTGTTGATCGCAGAACTCAAAGCTGTTAAAAGAGCAGGTAGAATTTTTGGCAAGTGCCTAGTAAGAGCATCTCCTGCTACAGCAGATAAGAATGATAAGGCTTTTGTGTTCACAGGTGGAGCTGTCAGCTATAAAAAAAGGTAATGCTCATTAGTGTTAAATAACTACCAAAAACTGTTAAAAATTTATAATTTTTATTTCCCTTTTTACTTTCCCTATATTCCTCTAGGGCAAAATTAAGAAACATTGCTAATTGTCACTGACCAGCTGTAGCATTTTCAAAAAGGCACATCTTAAAACGCATGGCCACATTTTTAAAAATTGAGAATTTAAAACTTCTGGTAAAGATTAAAAGGCACATTTAAAAAATAATGAAAAATGTGAAGAAACTAGTATGAAATAAAGTTATTTTTGGTGAATATTATGACATTCATAATTCCACATTGATTAGAAAAATAGTACACATATGCATTATCAACAAAAAAAGTACTAACAGGTGGCAACTTCAATTGTCATTTGCAACATTTAGTTGGCCAGTGGCCTTTGGAGTTAACGTTGATCTATATTAGAGACACTTAAACCTTTTTTTAAAAAAAAGCAAATTTTAATACAACATGACCAATATACAATGATAGACCAACTCTATCTTAATTTGTCACTGATAATAATTTCAATAAATAAATCAAAATAGAGAAAGTACAACTTTTAATCAGTATAAAATACACAAAAAAGAACAGCAATGAAATTTAGTCAAACAAAATTTTAAATAAATGCTTTAATAAAAAAAATTAGAAATTTACCTGTGGAACAAGATATGGCAAAACAACTTTACTTTTAATAGCCATTACTTGCCTCAAACCATCTAGAGCATATTCAGATTGAGCTGGATTACCCTAAAATGACATTTAAAATATTAAACCTAGCAGGAATGAAGCAATAAATAAATAAGCCAATCATAAAGAAATACGTTTTAAAGTAGCCAATCATAAAAGAGCAAAAAGGGCAACTTACCAACTGTCTAAGCAAATGAGGTAAGATGTCATCTAAAGCTCTAACTCCAACTGTAGAATGGAGACTATCAAATGTAGTTGCTGCTGCAAGACGCACTTCAGGCAGGGGATCACTTAAAGCACGTCTAAAATATACACAATTAATTTTAGGAACTTTTCAGAATCTACTTAAAAACATAAATTCGTAAACTATGAGCAATATCCTCACACCAAGGCCTAAAAGTTCATTTTTTTGGTAACATACTTTTTACAATGCAGAAATAAATTTGCAAGAAATTAATAGGTTAGTTGGCAAAATTTTATTGAAAAGCTTTATACAAATACAAAATTATTGTTAATGGAAAGAAAGTCATTGAGCGAGTCCAGGGGCAAAAGTTGAAACTTTTGAAATAGAAAAAAGGCATGATCCAAGGCCACTCTAAAAAATTTTAATATTGAACTTTTTCAACTAATTAAAAAAGTTCAGCATTGTTTAGCAGAATTTGTAGCCTACTGACTGCTAAATGCACCTTTCCACAAAAATGGCCCGCATGTTATATCAATGACTTTTTTTAAAGAAAATATTTATTTTCTTCATTTTATTAGTCTATTTTTACAACAAACAAAACAAATATAACAGTTAACTTGGTATATCATTTTACAATAATTACGGAATAAATACACCACTAACTTTTTCTTGGAGCTGTTCATATCTCTACTTATTTTTCACTTCATTATTAACTATAAATTACATTAAAAGAAATTCATCTTAATTTAATCCTCCAAAACATTAGGAGAGAATTACAGCAATAACTATGAAAAAGAAATATTTTTTTTTTAATTTATTTTTTTAACAAAAAATATGCTTTTTAAGAAGAAAAAAATTTTTTTAGAATAATTAATTTAAAAAACCTATTAGAGGACTAAATTCAGACCACCGAATTTTTCTCCAGACTGATTTTATTTCTGAGGACTGAAGGGTGGCACCCAGATTTATTAGTAAATAAAAAATCAAACATGAATTCTTATACTTAAATAATAAAAGACAATTCTTCTTTTAATGAAAACTAGCCAACAAAATCAGTGATATAAGAAAATATAAAAAATATTTTCATTTTATCTAAGAACTAATTTTTCATTATGTTACTAACAGTAGTTTGCTTTTAATAAAAAAATTTTGCATATTAAAAAAAAACTCCAGGCTGCACTCTGATTTAAGGTTTTTTTTTCACACATTCAAATTTTAAAACAAAATTGCAACTTACGGTATAGAATATATAGATATATTTTTTTTTTTAAAGTGAATACTTTATTAACAAACAAATCTTAAGTTACACACAGAATTCAATTGAATAGCAAAGTACACAGTGAAAGATGAGGAAAACTTATTTGGTTGAGTTAGTTTTACTATCATAATTTTTTTGCTTAATGCTAAATGTCATCTTACATTTATCAATAAGTACAGAAGCATGTCAAAAAAACTGGAAACTTTTACTTTTGCATTGGATCATCTTCAATATTATTTTTGATTAAATTAATCACTTCAAGATATTTAGACAATTTTTTTCTAAAGAGAACTTAAAAATAAGTTTCTAAAATTTTTCACGTTTTCATTGTAATCTTTATAAATAAAATATAAAAAGGGATCTAAATTATAATCACAAGGATATCATATAATTGTGCAGGAAATAATTTTTATATCCAAGTTATTAATTTAACTCATTAAAATCTCATACTTTTCTTTTGAAATACTAGATTAAAAGTTGAACATTGTAGATTTCTTATTTAAAATGTTTTATATTTAAAAACATCTTACCTGACAGTAGGCACTAAACTGTCAACAAAAGTCAGAACCATTTCTCTACTCGTTGATGCCATTATTTCACTTAAACCAATGCAAACTCCTTGCCTTTGATCAGGACGATCAGAATCTAAACCATTCTCCAAAATAGGTATGATTTCTGGCAACACCCTCTCACCCAGTTTACGAACAAGGTCACCTAAAGTTCGGGCTGCAACCTATTGCAAAATAACAATTCAAGTCAACTTATTTATACTAATCTAAATACAACATCTATTTTGATATTGAGAATTCATTACAACATAAAACACTTTAAAAAGGTATTATTTGTGTAAACCTTATTGCAAATAAAAAAAATCGCTCATATTTGATAATTCATCAGAGGCAACGGAATTAAGGAAAACTAATTAAGGATAAATTCCTCAAGTAAGGGGGAAAAAACTGCTTTTATTACTCCTGTTTGAGTGAGACTAATCCAAATTTATATTATGTGGGGAAGAAACTTAGGAAATGTTTGAAAATCCACAAAAAAGAAAAAATTGAATTTGAGGGAACATTAAAACAAAAATTAAAGCAACATAAAACATTGATGTTAACATTATAAAGTCTCAATTTTTACATAACAGTTTAAGTCCCTAATGAACATGAAGGAATGAGGAAAAAGGCAGTTTCTTTTTTTCTGAACATTATGTTAACAGTTAAGGTATTTTATCCTTGCATCTAAAACGTACAGACACCTTCAATAGCTAATCTAGTTTAATACAATTGAATATGCATATTTTTATAATCTGTAAAGCAGGGCTTTAAAAGAAAATGTTTTTTTTTTGGTACATATTCATAAAGCAAGTGTTTGTAAAAATGCTTGAAGTTATTTTTTTAAAAAAGGTCCTAAATTAGAAAAATCATTTAAATAGAACTTAGTCATTAATTTAAATATATCATTCAGAAAATGAATTATAGAAGTATAATTTTAGGTCATGATAATCTTTAAAATATTTACAACAATTTTATTATATTTGCATTTTTAAGATGACATTTATGATTTTTTTTAAGATGAATTAGAACATTCAAAAATACTTTACAACATACTAATTAATTCACAATAAATCACCTTCCTACAATTTCACTCAGTTGAAAACAAATATTTAGTGCAAAAAGAGCACTACCTGTTATTTTATGAACTAAAAATTTTTTATCAGCAAGCATTAGTTTTTTTCCTCTTAATTCTCATTTTTTTACAATGGTCAATTGTAATATTTTTCTGTTTTTATTAAAACAGATTTTTCCCTTAGAAAATAAGGTAAATTTAAAAATAGACATTTATAGCGTACAAGTAACTGGAATTTTTACATGCGTAGAATTTGCTAATTCTTGCACATGAGTTTTTTCTGTTTTGTATACATTAATGTATCATAAAATTCAAAGCAATCTTTCATAACAGTTTAACAAAAATGTGACAAATAGTATATTGTACTGATAAGAAACAGCAATAATTATTTTATAATCATCATAGTCACTTACTTGTCTTTTGTCATAACTATTGCTAGCAAGACAGCCAAGTAGAAGAGTAAACAGAGTAGGTAGAATTTCTCTGAGAGTTCTGGGTGTATTGGTAACAACAATTTTCCAGACATGCAATGCAGCCTGCCTCACCATAAGAGCAACATCTGAACGACCCATGTAAAGACCCGCAAGCACTCTGTTACGTCTATCTGCACCGAGGGAGCCCAGAATAGCCTGGAATTACATTACAATTAAGCACGCATGGCTAAAAACATAGAATTCAACAGACTCATGAAACACAATATTACTTTATGGGACTGCTCTGTTCCAAAATTATCATCTTCATCAGCTGTTTCTGTAGTCATTTTACCACTCACACCTAAAGAGGAAATTTTTTTTGTAAATAAACAAAGTTATAGAAACAGATCAAATAGCTTTTATATAATACTACATATAGCAGCTAGGTTACTTTTAATTAAAATGAATGAAGGTGGTACAAGATACAGAAGCTACGATACTGTGTTAAATTCAAATATAATTACACATGCAAGTTAAAAATATCAAACAGTTTTATAAATTAAGTGTAGAAGAAAAATGAAATGAAACATAAAGAGGAAAAATTAATAGGTCTTAGTTGTTGCTGTAGTTCATTTACGTCGCACTAGAGCTGCACAATGGGCTAATGGTGACGATCTGGGAAACATCCCTGAGGATGATCCAAAGACATGCCATCACAATTTTGATCCTCTGCAGAAGTGATAGCACCCCCGCTTCGGTAGCCCTGACGACCTGCATGTGAAGTCGAGCCCTTAACAAGGACCAATACCGCACACTGTCAGTCCCTACGCAGACTAATTCACATGGTCACCCACTCACACACTGACCGCAGCCAGTCATACTTAACTTCGGTGAGTTGCTGGGAACCGCGTCTTAACGATCAGTCCACTGTGGGACAATAGGTCTTGGAACTCGTATTTGGTGATATTTTTTTATTCTACTAGTGTGACCCTATACTCCATTGCAAGTTAGGAAAAGAAAATTGCAGTAAAGGATTAAGTTATCATTCGTGACTGCATTAGTTCTGTTTTATTCAGCTATCAAATTATATTATGCTTTAAAAACAATATAAAGACTTTTAAAAGTCAGGGATGAGATTGGCCAAAAGGCAAAAAAGCTGAATTTTCACGCGAGTAAATCTTACATGCGTGCTATCATTTAATAATAAAATCCAGACGATTTAAGATAATAGATAACTATGTTTTGATATAAAATTAATTGTCAACTAATTTATCAATATATCACGTGATTTATAGCATAAATATCAGAAACATATTCGCATTCAGTTATGCTGATGTTGTAATGTCTATATATACACCAATAATCGTCGATAGAACAACTGCCACATTTATAGTAACTAATTCAAGAGAAAAAACTTACTTCTTATTAGAATTGCGATAAAGGATTTTAAAATCGTGTGAATATGAATCACAATATTCGATTTAGAAATCACGAGAATATGAAACTCTATATTGGATTTCAAAAATGTGAATAGAACAACTGCCACATTTATAGTAACTAATTCAAGAAAAAAAACTAACTTCTTATTAGAATTGCGATAAAGGATTTTAAAATCGTGTGAATATGAATCACAATATTCGATTTAGAAATCACGAGAATATGAAACTCTATATTGGATTTCAAAAATGTGAAAATACAAATCACTGTCTAATTTTTAAATTGCGTAAATACGAATCACGATGCACAATTTCTAAATCTCGTGAATACCAATCCAAAGCATAATTTTTAAATCACACGTGTAAATACGAAAATCGGTGTTTGATATTACAACTGCATAAACGAATCACGGCATTGGATTTTAAACTCACGTGAATACAAATCGCTATATAGGATTTTAAAAATATGTAGAAACTAATTTGCTACATAGGACTTTTAAAAAATAACGCTTAAATACAAATAGCTATATTGGATTTTTAAACTTCGTAGATAAGACTTGCAATGTACCAAATTGAAATTGCATGAATAAGAATCGCAATGCACAACTTTTAAATCAGGTAATCCAACGACGTTTGAATTACGAAAGTATGAGCTATCTGGCGGGCGGATAAAAATGCGGAAAATCTTATTTTTTACAAGTAAAAGTGGAGAAAATTATTAAAAATGGGGAAGAATTGGCAGCTGCATAGTTTGAATTTTCTGTTTATCTTTGAAATTCGGAAAGAAATATAATTATTTTATTTCAACAGCGGAATTTTCAGAAAAAGCGGAATATTTATAAAAAGACTGAAATTTTTAGAGAATCGGAGTTTTTGATAAAAAGGCTGAAATTCGAGAGACAAAAGCGAAAAAGGCGGAAATCCGCTAAAAAGCGGAAAAACCTCATCCCTGAAAAGTTAAACTCGTAGGACAGAAATTCAATTCGGGCTATATTTTATAAGCAAAAAGGAGACCATGCTACGTCATTACAAGAGTTGGAATGTTGATATTAATTTGTGCTTAGAGCTTGACATCCCTTTAGCGTGCACTTAGATGCAAACAGGCTCTCTCCATAGGGATAATGGTTTTTTCTTAACTTGCAGAGTATAATGAGCTATCAATAATCTGAAATTCAACCCTAAATTATATTTAAATAAAGAAAACATTCAATTAAAGAAACTAAGAACTCAAATATCCAAATTTAAGAATTTAATAAAGTAGATACATTTTCAAAAAAATTTATGATTTAGATATATATAAAATTTGTTGATTGCTAGCAATTGTGAAAGATGAAAGAATAATTATATTCACTGTTAACTAAACTAATAACCAACACTTTCAAATTTATATGACAGACTTAGGTAATTATAAGCTATGTTTTCCTATAAATGATATTTTTACATCAAATTAACGCTCGGTATTGTTTCAAAACAGATACTTCATGAGTTTCCAATTAATAACAAAGCAATAAACAAGAACATTTTATTGCCTATATAGAAATCTTGGTGTTTTTTTATCAAAAACATGGACCTAAACAATTTTGAAAAAAAATATGGCTTATTATGTAGCCCCGAGCCCTTCATATACATAATACCTTTAAATCCATTTAAAAAAGTGGATCAAAAAATAAGAAAATGAAAATTAAGAAATAAAATGAAAAAATTTAAAATCTTACCAAAAATAAACAATATCAAATAATAACTGAGTGCTAATAATTAAGATGTCAAAAATCTCACCAGATATTTTGTACAACAGATCACCAAGTAGCTGCACAGAACTGTAACGTATTCTCCAATTATCATCAAACAACCCTCTTTCAAGCTCAGGTAATAACAGTGTAATGGCAGTGTCAGCATACATGTTAACTATTCTTTGACCAGCTCTCAACGCAGTATCTCTTACATATTCATTTTCATCAGCTAATGCCTATTTAAATGCAAAAATTAAATTAAAAAATCATAACGGATAAATATTCAAATTTATAAATATTAAAAATCTAAAACAAACTAAACTCAGTAGTGCGACAGCACATTGTGGGCCAAGGCCTACTGAGACCACCTGTTTCCTTTACTGTTGGACTCTGGGGTGCCAACGCAGATGTTCCGGTTGGGTGGTCAGCCCAACGTGGATTCCCCAATGATTAGTTACCAAGCATGCTTGGTACTCATTTTATCGACCCACTGAAGGGATGGAAGGCTGGGTAAACCTCGTCTGGCCCGAGGATCGAACCAAGGATTTGAGCCATGACAGCGCAAAACACTAACACTCAGCCAAAGGGCGTGAATTGAAAACAACTTACTTTTAAAATTGGATTTATGATCTGTCCAATGTATGGAGTAAATTCCTTCTTAAAGACCATAGGTAGATAAATGAACATCATTATATAACCATCTTTGACGTGAGGAGCAATGTCCATTCTTTCAGCTGTAGCAATTATTTCTGGCATAAATGATTTTAATTTTTCCACACCTAAGCCACCAATAACTTCACTTAAACCTAGAACAGAAATAGGCAGACATCTTTAAGGAACAAAACATATAAATTTTCGCTTAAACTAAATACAGCAGGCAGTCAGAATTAATATTCAGTCAGCTGACTTCAATGATTACAACGTAAAAATAGCGCCCGATAGTGAGAAAAATAAATAAATATAACCAACTCTATATTATCTGCTCTCTTATTACCCTTGTTGTAACAACTATATTAATTTAATTATTTTAATTACTACATAATTTTTATAAAATGATTGTGGATGTTTGGATAGTGATATTTTATTCAATTTAGAATTTAATAATATAAAAAAAGTACAAAATTTGAATGTGTAATAAGTTTACAAGACTAATTCAATTTGCATAGCAAATCCGCAACAAATATATTCCACATCACATAATGAACGGTAAGAATTAAGAATGCACATCAGTGAAAAAATAAGCACGATTTTAAACTACAGTTGCATTAAGAACAGAAAACTACTTTTCCTAGGAGTAGAAATTAAGAGCTTAGTCAATAGTTCGTAGCCCAGGGAAAAAAATACATTGTTAGTCCATACACATTTTCACTGGCCCATTTACATGTCTTTATTAGATTTTTTTTTAAAATAAAGTTAATAAAGTGTCATATAATTAAAATTTAAAATACTAAGAATGTGCAATATTGACAATTATGATGATATATATTACATCTTTTGTTACAATAACACTAACCAAAAAAAAAATATAATAATAAATTTTAAAACTAAAACAGAATACCATCCTTTTACATTGATTGCCGGTTCAGGGAACTACATAAAATTATTTTATAGTGCCTTGAGTCAAATTCCAATGGTCCCACAGATACTAGGCAACTATTAATTTTAAGCCTTCAAAATAAAATATACTACTACACATTTTGTCACTAAAACACTGATCAAAAAGACAAAACAAAAATTGCATTATCAAAAAAGTACACCATCGCTTTACATTGATAGCTGATACAGGGAAGTACTTAAATTTATTTTTCTGTGGTTCGATTCAAATTTCAATGGTTAGAAGATAACTATTACAGAGATGCCAACTTGCTCCGGACAGCAAATATATATCTTAAAGTGGTAGTTTGTAAATTGTGATTCTCAGTTTAACAAATTCAATTTAGTAGATTTTTATCCACCACTATTTCTAAATAATTCGTAGACTTATATAATTCACCACTTTATCGTACTTATGTCATGCTATACCATTTAAATAACAAACAAAGATAGTCAAATATTTGCAAAATCTACTTTGTAGTTATTTACCGTTTTTTTAATTATTTTGGCGTGTCCGGAGCAGTTGGCATCTCTGCTATTAATTTTGAACACCACCTGATAACTATTAATCTGGTGCCTTTTCTTAAACTTAATTTAATTAAAACCTAAAAAGTTAATAATATTACCTTGAGCAGCACCAGATCGGTCCACAGAGCTGGATTCTGATGTAAGAGTCAGCATGAGCCAAGGCAACAAATCATCAAAACTACTTTCTCCCATTCCTTTCACCATAGCACCCAAAGCACGAGCAGACACGCTTCTTACCTGTCAAGAAATAAAAAGTTTTGAACTTATAAGCATATCAACTAGAAAATAAAATTAAAAAAAAATAATAATAAAGTAAAAAAGCAAGACCTACCTCAGGTACTGGATCAAGTAGTGATTGTTTCAATCCAGGAATTATGTTGGGCAAATACGGAGCAAGATCCTGGGATGAAAGAAAATTTCAGTGCAAACATAAGAAAATAATTTTAAAACAAACTTATTAAAGCTATTATAATTGAGGTTTGGTTCATACTCAATTTCTGAAAAAATATTTCCCAGTTTTACCAGAGCACCAAAAAGCTTGCTTGTACCAAAATTTTAAATTTAAATTAATTCCTAAAAAGTTTATGAATTTCAAACAACAACAAAAATCACAAAAAACCACCAAAAAATAAATAAATAAAATTTTACTCTTAGTTTAAAGAATAAATCAAATGATTGCCTCTTAAAATGTAAATAATACATTTTAAGAGGCAAATACAAAAAAAATCACAAAAAACCACCAAAAAATAAATAAATAAAATTTTACTCTTAGTTTAAAGAATAAATAAAATGATTGCCTCTTAAAATGTAAATAATGATTGCATCTTAAAATGTAAGTAATGACTGCTTTTTAAAAAAATTACACTAACTAGGTTTCCTAACTCAATATTGCTGAATTAATAGATTCGATTTCATAATTCATTTGTGTTGGAAAACTAACATATCTTAAATGGAAAAGATTTAAGTAAAAATGTATGATTTTTTAAAAAATAAAAATTGTCCTTGGGGGGGTGGGAGCAATTTTAGACTACCAAACTCAATAGCTATATATTGCAAGATATTTTACTGAAAAACATTAAGTTGTAAAATAAAATACAGAAGAAAAAAAACTATTAGATATGAAAAGGGTCAACTTGAATGACTTTTTTATTTCTTGGCACATTTAATCAAAAAAACTTCAAGCTTGATTAATTAAGCCTATGTGGTGTCAATAATAGTATTAAAAAAAACTTTTAAAAAGAACTTAAGTACTTATTTTAAATTATATATCAGGAATGCTTACTTTTTGATCTGTTAAAGAATACATGTTTCCAATAATTTGGGCTGACATTTTGCGTGTTTCAGTAGACCGGTCTTGAAAAGCCCTCTGAACAACAGGCATTATTAAAGCTAGGGAAGGTGCATCAATAAAATGGACAAATCTTGTATCTAAAAGAGCTACTAAACAAGGGGAAGTTTTCTTTGATGGGTCTTGCAATGCATCCAACAAAGTGGGAACAATTGCTAAAAAAAAAAAGAAGTAAAATTTAGAAGTTAAGAAAGAAAATGCAACTTTCATAATGCAAACAACAAACAAATTTCAAATGGAAAAAAAAAGAGGGGTTACAATTGAGTTTTCTTAACTACTTATAAAAGAGGTATGTCAGCTGTCAGTATTGGAATTTTTTAGTTTATTGTGTCTCAAAGTTTTCATACTCCCTTGATGAAACTTTTGAATTTGCTTTAAAATTTATCTTCATAATTAACAGATTAATTAACATAAAAATTAATCTCCTGAGAGCAGAAGGTGTAGCAGTAGCTTTACAAACTTTATATACAATTTTTTCTAAAAAAAAAATTATCTTGGCAACTATTTCAATTTTCTAAATTTACATATAACTTGACTTCGGGGAGTAAAAAGTGACAAACCACATTTCAGTTTAAAGACAGGCTAATATTTAGTGAAGTTCACAAACTCATATTTTTATGAAATGTATATAATTTTACACATATTAAATTGGAAGACTAATTGCTAAACATTGAGCAAAATAAAAACTCTCATTAGATTTATTTATTTTTTTGAAAGGAAGTAAAAATTTTGTAACATATGGATTTCATTTTTTAGCTCTGCAGGTTTTAATTAAAACTCTCAGTCAATTGTGTAATTTTTCAAGATCAAGACAATGTTTTCAAATAAAGAAAATAAATTTAATCTGTCAAGTATTTTAATAAACTAGTTTTCAACAGAAAAAAAAAAATCCCCAGTGAGCAGTTTCTAAATATTTACAACACTAAATCAAATTTTCACAAATTTTTACACACCCTTATTTTTATGATTTCAAATTAGAGTTAAAGTAACTATGAACAACCTATTTTTAATACAATATAATATGGGTATTGTAAAAAAAATCTCATTCATTTTTTAATGTTACACTATAAAGAGGTCTCTATACATTGTAGAATAGCTCATATGAATTTTTTTTTAAACAAAACCAGAAGTAGTACAAATTATTTGTACAAGTAAATAACTACAGATAAGGCCAATTTTATAATATAACCATTTAAAAAATATTTTTTCACTTACTCAACATAATTGAAAAATGAAAAATAATTACCTTGAATTTCTGGATTCCTAATTACAGAACCAATCTGTTTAAGAGCCTGAGCACCAGCATTTTGAACATTCATATGAGAATCAGAAAGAACTTCAATCAGTTTAGGTACTATGCTTGGTAGACAGGAAGATAACTGTTTGGGGGCACAAAATGCCATTGCACCCAACAATTCAATAGAACCTATTTTAAGAATAGATATTGGTGAATAAAAGGGAAAAGAAACAAAAGTTCAAACAATTGAAAAAGTAATTATATTACACACATTTTGCTAATATGCACTTCAAATATCAAATACTAAAACTTTTTGAACTAATAAAAATTACTTCAGAAATACTGGGGAAAGTAATAACGGAGTTCTCATTCCTGACTTATATTATTTATATTTAAGGCCACTTTAATAAATTTTCCAAGTTCACTGATAAATTTTTCAAAGATAAATTCACTGATAAATTTCCTGAACTTCATAAAAACTAAATTTAAGTAAAATTTTTAAACTATACAGTCTACATAAAAAAAAATTCTACATTCAGCATACAGAAGAACCACAATTTAATGACTCTTGTCCGATTGGACAAAAATGTTATGTTGGGGACATGAAAATTATTTTCCTGAAAACTAAAATTTAAACATAATTAAGTTAAAAAATTAATTTTGTTAAATATCTAAATTCAATCTTAAATTTAAATGCTATTTATTTAGTAAAAAGAAAAACTTATATTATTTTAATGGAAAAAAAACATTTTTTTTTTATTTATTTACTTTTGTCTAAAAGCACACAATGAATTTTCCAACTTTTCCATGGCAACGATTTTTCCCTCTTGTTCATGTTCTTGAAAGAAAATTTTAAGTCTCACCAACATGTTGACTGCTTCAATAAATAATTCTTCTTCATGAACACTAGATTCTAAAATTTCAGTCATTTAAATTGTCCCTAATTCACAAATCAGCAAGTCATTGTCACATTGCGAATACTTCATAAAGTTGATCAGGCTGTTTTGAAATGGTAAGCATTTTACTGAGTCGAAAATGATTTAAAACTTTTTCTGAAACCACTAACGATACTGTCATTAGAAGCTTTTTTCTAATCAGAACATCAGTATTAATATATGCCAGGGAATTATAATTAGAGAATACTCTAAGTAACAGAATATTTTTACATTATTGACATAGAAAAAGGTGCCCAGGCTGAAAAGACAATAAAAGCAAGTGATTGTCATTCATAGGCTGGTGATGTTAATTTCAAGTTCTACTACTGTATAGGTAAAATTAAATACATAGATGAAAGCAAACAAATTTTTGCTTCAATTACACAATAAAATAAGAAAAATTAAGGAAAAACAAATTAAATTATAAAATGAAGTCTTTTCTTATGAATCAAAATAAGAGCCTCTAGAATGTTTGAGAGAAAAATAAGACTTTTAATGAACTCTTTAAGAGTGCAGGTACCACATACAAGATAAATAAAAATTGATTTAGAAAACAGGATGATAAAAAAAGATGATTATTTAAGAAATATTTTAGTCGATTTATATATATTTACTTTTAAGAGTTCTTTTTAGAAAAATAAACTTTAAACCGATTTTTAACAAAAAAATGTTTCGCTAGTTTGCATACGTAGAAACTATTCTAATAACAATAATAAAGATTAATCATAATTTAAAATTATTAATTATCTGAGTTTTTACAAAGTTGGTAGAAAATTGAATGTTAATAAATAGCACTTCTAATTCCCAAAAAGAAAAATTTTAAAAAAAATATACAAAAAATAGTACAAAAAAATAAAAATAATAATTTACATTTCCAAACGTGTTTTTTGTTTCAGTTTTATAATATTGCTAATTTTAAAACTTTTTTTTAAATTATAAATTAATTGTATGTTTTGTACTATTTTAATGCGAAATGACAGAACAGGATCAGCAATTAACCAGATTTATCATTATTACTAAAACTAACCAGTTTTTGTCCTCCAAGAATCCTCTTCCAGAGCTTTAATTAAAGATGGTAAAACAAGTTTGACTCCATGAGCACTAAGGCGACTCATGACAGCTTTTGATGTATCATCAGTTGCCTGTAGAAGGGAAGAAAAAAAATTTGAAAATTCCAAATTTTTTTTCAAAACAAAGCTAAAGAGTTACTGATAGAGAATCATATTTACCTCTCTAACATATTGATTTCCATCACCAAAACAATTCAGGAGATGAGGTAAGAAATTCACCACATATGGTTCAAATAATCTTCCCAACATATTACAGAGCATTTCAAAGGCAAATAATGCACCTATAGTTCACATTAAACAAAAAATTAAAGCTAAAATATAATAAGATCTTTAATATTTAATAAAAATATAATATTTCTTCTGAAATGCTCGTAATGTTTTGTAACATTCTAAATGTAAAAAATAAAAAATAATAATAAATAAGAACATTTAATGCATTCTATGCAACAAGTGTTTTATGATGAACAATTGTTCTGAACAAGTTTGAGTACATATAGATTTATTTATTTATTTTTTAATTAAGAATTCACATTTGAAGACTCACTGTTTTTTTAAAAAAAATTAAAGCTTGTAAGAGATAAAAAAAAGTAAAGATTTAATGCATTTCAAGCTATTGTCAATGAAAATTTTCTAACTCAAATTTATCTGTTAATAATCCTCAACATTTTCTAATACGTAGAAGTTAATGTTTTTATAACTGACTATTTTATGTTAGGTTGTAGTTACAAAAACATTCTTTAAAAATAAATTCCATAAAAACTGCTAAGCAACCACCATTTTTGATAAAGCGTTTTGAAATGTGCAAGGTCAATTGAACTTCAATAAATTCTGCATAATGACTTCTCAACTGGTTAATTTTTGCATTTACTATTAAAAAATAAAACACTTTTAAAATGTTTTTCACATCAACCACATAATTAATTAGTATATGATTGCAAAAAAATTATAAAAGAAATGCTAGAGTCAAATAAAACAAGAAAAAAGATTTTCTAATTAACACCAAATTACCTTCTCTGTGCTTGTAATTCTTCTTATTTTGAATAGCATCTGTTAAAGTATTCATGATATTCAGCTGTTTCAACGATAAAATTCCAAGTCCTTTTACTAAACCAGCAAGACCATATGCAGCACCTTTCCTTTCTCCATAACTTGATGATCCAAGAAGAAGTTCTAGTATAGTATTTACAAGAGCTGGTGCTTCATCTTTTATAGCAGGCACTAAAGGTGGAAGACAATTTGCTACGGCTTCTTGAACCTATAAACAAAAGCAAAACCAGTTAATAAAATGCAAATACATAACATTTATAACGAACAAGATACAACTTTTACAATCACATTCACATTACAATGCTTTTAGAAGTATGTCAACAATATTTATTAATAGAATAGAAGGATTTTGATTAATTAGTATCCAAACTACCTTGGTTATGCCCCTCAACCCCCCCCCCCCAAAAAAAAAACTTGAACACATGAAGACTACATTCTTCCCATCACTGATGCAAACACAGTTGCAAAAAAATTTTATTAATTTGCACAATGAAACTGGTCAAAAAATCAATGAAAAATAAAAATTAGCTTTTACCATTTCATTCTTCACAGTATTGTGAGGTAAACTACATTCCATTTCTTGTATTAAAAGTAACTGTTTATCTCAATAGAAATTTAAAATTAATGTTTATTCCCTCTTTCGCGTTAATTAAATTATTTATATAATTTTTTTCATGAAATTAAATTTGTGGCAAATACTTCTTATATGGACTTATATCTAATGACTAAATATTCTCAAAACATCTGATTAATGAAAAATTATTGGAAATTAAAAACTCATTGAAAGTTTATTTGTAGAAATCTTAACTAGTTAAAGTTTTAATCAATCAATTTGTTAATAAATTTCCAGTTAGCAAATCAGATTTTTAAATAAACTCAATTTACATATTCTGGGTTTTTGTACTATTAATAAATTTGAAGTCAAGTCAAAGTCATGACAGGCAAAATTTTTCCTTAAAACAAATTATCCAAACAAAAACTAAATTATTTTAAAGATAAACTAGATAAATATGATAATCTGTGGATAAAAAAAAATCATCTCTCATTTTGTTCATACAACTTATTCCTAAAGAATTATATCTAAGTATTTTACACAAATTCATAACATATTTAAAAAATTTAAATATTAAATGGATTTGAAAATTAACATTTAGTTCTAGATAAACTAACATCTAAAATATAAAATATTCAAATTGTAATTGAATATAATCCTGCAAAGTATATTTTGCTTTGTCAAATAAATCAGTATCTGAATTAGGACCAAGACTAATAAAAATATTTATTAGACATGTTGCTTTGCAAAGACAAAAAAAAAATANAAAAAAAAAAAAAAAAAAAAAAAAAAAAAAAAAAAAAAAAAAAAAAAAAAATTATTGTAGGTTTGGATATCAGTACAAAAGGATAATAAGATATTGAGGTGAGTTAAAGTTGAAGTCACCCATGAACATTTTATATTAGTAAGCCTAAGGAATGATCAAAAAATTTGATCTCACTATTTCAAAAAATACTTAAAATGTAAGAAATAGAGATGTCCCTTTAGTAAAACTTTATTTCTCTCTCTCGTAATTTCAGATAATCCAAACAGGCAATGTACAAATTGCTTCAGATTAGCAAAGTCCTTGCATATAATTATTATCATTGTTAATTTATTCCTTTATTAATAAATAGTTATTAAATCCCTAAAATACTTTCAGACGTGCCAACCTAGCAAAATTAACATTCAGGAGTTTCCCTAACAAGAAACAATT